TTCAAACTGATGGAAACAGCCTTTCTTAAACATGTTCAAATGAAAAGCATGGCCAAAACATTAGACAGTGTGGTGCTGTAGCTACTTGAGAGAAAAATTCAAAATCTGAAATTGTGTGGTTGTTAAGATTTTGCTGTTTTGATTTTCTAACTATTTTGAGAAGCCATTAAAAATTGTCACTATTCAGGTCTCTCTTCTATGATGAAAAAGTGTATTTTATATACTCGTAGAAGAAAAAAGTTCTTCCAGTGACCAACCTTCTGAGATCCAGATAATGAATCTGAGCTCTGAACTGGCTTTGATTCTTTTATGATGGAATTTCTGGCTGTGGGGGACTGAGTTTTGAGCAAATAACAAGTAAGGCCTCTCTAGATCCTGGTTGGCCTCACTTGCATCTTAACCACTGTTGCAGGGTTCAGCTGGTTTCACTTGATGGGTGTACAGTTCATCCAGAGGCATGCAGTAGTTAGAGAAATAAGGTGAAAAGTAAAAAGAGTCTCATATTAATTAATGTGTGTATAGTGTCTAGTGTGAGGGACACAGTGCTGACGGAAGTAAAATATTTTACTTAGATCTAAGTAAAGTAATCTCAGTTTGCGATCTGGTTTTACCATCTAAAGACTAAATGCAGTACAGCATAGCATAAACCAGAGTATCTGTCAAACTAGCTGCAGTGTGTGCTGTGATGAAAAAAACAGGAAGTGTCTAAGGATATGTAGTTCCTTGATCTTTTTCTGTAGTAGCTGAAATTACCACTTTTTTTTTTTTTTTTCAGTGGTACTTTACATTGCAAAGTAGAGTTCCTCTAGGGTACGTTCTTAGGTAATCCAGCTCTGTAATGGGTAAAGGGTTAAAAAAAATGTGAGGGAGGCCCATCCAAAGAAAAGCTGCTATCCATTCCATATTATTATGTATACTATGTAAATTAGCCATTTATTTCTGTCATTTCAGGAGCCCTTAGTCCTGTGTGAGTCCAAAAAGTGTGAAACATTACAGCAACAGAATAGATTAATGAGATTTGTTTTAGTTCTTACGGAGGTTTACTGAAGGTCTGATTTCAGAAAACTGGAAGGTGAAGTTCACTGGGTTTTATTAACTGCTTGTATCAAAAATTCCTTCAAACAGTGCTGGGCATGATATGATTAATCCTAGAGAGGTCATGGGATTACTCAAAATTGTAAGTGCTGGTTTCAGTGCTGCTTTTAATGTGTTAAGTGAAGTAAGCAGGTAGTGGTAGTCTCACCTTGCACAGCACTGAGCACATTTAGGACCATATTCAGAAAAAAATTGTGGATGTCCTCCTAATCAATAGAGTTGAGTACCTCTGAATCACTGAAACAGTAGCTGGAGAGCTAGGGAGGACATGGAGCAGGGAGCTAGGTGGAAGACCCTTATTAGGAGCAGCAATACATGTAGAACTTGTTGACGTAGGACAGGTGACATATGGTGATATATGATAGTTGTGATTTGGTCTGTAGTGAAAAGTATACTTGTGATGACAACATAATTTAGAATGATGTGATTGAGCTTAGGCAGCACAAGTCTAATCACAGGAGTTTTAGTGTGCTTTTAGAATTGCTTGATGTGCTAAACAGCACATACTTTTCTGAATGCACGTGGTTCTTTTATATAAAAATCAGGAAAACTATTCATCTATTGATAATTTTTGAAACTGCTAGTTGGATTAACCAGACAAAAGTTATCTGCCTTGGTTAGAATATGTGTTGTGCTTAAAGTCCTGATTTTGAATAGTACAGCAATGAGTATATGTTTTAAGTTCCCAGATTCTCCTTGGTCCTGCTAGAGACCAAAGAGACCTAAGGATGATGTCTTTCAATATTTTAGTGCTCTCTTAAGTCTTTCATTGGGAATGATCCCATAATTTTGAAAACTCCTTCAATGCGGCAAGTTGCCATGCCTGTCAGTGAGAGTTAAGATTGCAGTTGTCCTTTATAATAATGAGAACTTTAAAGATGACAGATGGATATGAGTTTCACCAAGTACTTGTACATTGCTCTGGCTTTGTCTTTCTGGATCATGTTCACATATTTGGGTTGGTTTCCAACTAATGTTTGTGCATACCATATGTCAGTGAAGTGTGTTGCTTTTCAGATACCCAGATCGGTTGTGATGAGTGTTTAGCATACGGAAGAAGTGCCCATAGGCGATGGTGAAGGGCTTTGCAGATGAAAACTTCATAGCTTCCTTGTATGGCAAAACCAGTATTCTGTTTCAGAGATGCTCACAACCAGGAAACTTATACTCGTCAACCATGATTTTTGGGCCTTCCCTTTTTCTCTTTGACAGTATTTCTTTCTGTCAAATTTGGTCTCAAACTGTTTTCAAGTTATAGGGGGGAAGGCACATTGAATGTTGAGAGTGAGAGGGGGATTATTTTTCATTTCTGAAAATCATTTGTCTTTGTTTTGATTGGGGACCTCTGTGATTAATATCCATATAAATCTAAAAGGAGAATAATTGAAAAAGTGCATGTCAATGAATGCAGAAAATAAATGAATGTAGTAAATATCTTCTCTTTATTTACAGGTGTCCTTAAGACACTGCTGTGCATTTTCCTGTGTCTGCATACAATTAATAGGCAGATATAACATTGTAACATCATAAGCAAATATGATTGATGATACTTTAAAAAAGGAGATAAAGTAGTATTACCTAGCTTGCCTCCTCTATCGCTTCTGCCCAATTATTTTAACTGAGTCTTTCAAATACTGAAACCTAAAGAACTTAAATAAATACAAATTTTTTTTAAGTTTCCTACTACCTTTTAGGGCTGTGAAGTAGGAGAACATTGAGATACAACCATCTCTGCTGAGTAATGAATTAATTTTCAAATTTAATGAGAAAGATTCAGCAGTATATTGTTTTCTAGAGAAGGTAAACATCAACTCTAACCATAATTCTCAATGTTTTTAAAACAATTATTCTTTATCATTAAAGTAAATAATATGCACATTAACCTCTGATGTAGTCTGAATCAATATTGCAGTTTGGGAGATGTGACCCCTGGACGGCTTTGTCTAAATATTGATTTCATTGTCATTTGTATAAGGTACAAAACGAATTACATGCCTTCCTAATATCATTAATGTAACCCCATTGAGCTACTCAATTTATGGCTTCTTACAATGTATAACAAAACATTACAGAGTTATCGAAGACAACAAATTGCGCAACAAATTGTGAAATGCAATTGCTTAGTGTGCTGGATTTGATTGTGGAAGATCAGTGACAACACTCAATAACTTTCAAACACTTTGCTGTCCAAAGAAAGTCCAGAGACAAAAACGAGCCGCTCTGGTGTGTCTAGCTCAGTTGTTAATTTCCATCTGACCAAGTTCCCTTGAGTTCTGGGAGCAGCAATTTATTCTACAGCTTTCTACTTATGTGTTTGTAGCCTTACATGAAAATAATCATACACTTGTTTTCTGTGCCAAGGGAAAAGGTTGTTCTCTTCAATTACTGGAGAAAATCAAAATAGGTAGGGGGGATAGCCTCTCTCTGTCTTGGGCAGCATTTACAGTGGTTGTCATTACTGTCATAATTTGAAATATGAGTTAAATAATTTACACTGTGATTTCTTCCCTTCATTGCCTCTCTATTGTAGTGGTCATATCACTCATGATTCTGTAACTGCTCCTTCCCTCATAGCTGTTCCTCAGATCTTCCCCACACCTTCTTCCCCTTTCAGGAGATTTCAGGGTTGCCCTGAAACTCTGGAGATACTTATCTTCCCTTCTTTTGCTTCCTCCCTCTGCAGAGAGCTCCTTTTTTTACACCACCTATCTGTTTTTAAATATGAGATTCAGGCATCTACTTTCCTTCTCCAAACCTTGGCCCCACGGATATCTAAGAAAAAGCATAAGTTTCATGGCTTCCCCGAAAACTCTCAGTGGGGATGACTTTTCTTGCTCTTTGCTTGGTATCAGCACTGCTCACCTGCAGTCATTGGCTATAAGCTGCTTATTTCACATTTGGGGCACACACACAGACACATGCATGGTATCCTGTTTTTTTTTTTTTTTTTGTTACATTGAAAAAAATAAAAATCAATTTTCATACCTGATCTAGGATACTGTTTCCATTATCTATATACTATATTTTCAAAGCAGTGTCTTCATACTTTCTTCTGTGGTGGCTTTCGTGCTGAGGGACCTTCTTGTAAATATATGCAAAGCTACCTTGTTGTGCTTTAATGTGTACAAAAGTCTTAACCACTTTTGAGCTTCTGCTGTGCTGAGACTACAGCCTATCATTCCACCTGGTATTGTCTCACTGTTTAATTGTACTTGCCACTTTCTCTGGTGTTAGGCTTTTATCTGAGACTGCCTTTAAGGTTTTTTGATTTTGGAGAGAGGATTTATTCAGCATGAAATATGTAGGGCGTAGTAATCATTGGATAAGTATTGTAGGTGCTATGTTATTACAAATAATGTGGAATAATACATTTCTACATATCAAAATGCTCTAATTATGCTTTCATTACAGACAATATAGAATTGACACCATTAAAGTAAAGTTCCCTTAGCTGTCTGAGAAGGGTGCTTAGCACGTTTTAGGAACATGTTGGGTTTCCGTCAGAAAGTCTGTATGGGGATATTTTTCTTTTCTGGTTTGTTTGGTTGGTTGGTTTTGGTTGGTCTTTTGTGTGTGTGTTTTGGGGTTTTTTTTTAAAGACAAAAAAGATGAGGAATGTTAATAGAATACAGAGGTGAACAGCCTGTTATAGTCATCTTGAGCATAATGCAGACCATAGGTTTTCCCTGAATTAATTCCTGTAAGAATTAACAATGCAGCTTAGGAAAAATCTTAAAATGAAAAAAATAAATAAGACAACCAACCAACCAAAACAAAACAAAATGAAACAAAGCAAAACCCCTCAACTACAAAATCAACAAAGCCCCCCATAACTCATGTTTTCTAAACCTTGCTCATGGTGTTTTTCTTAGTTGATATATTTTGTTCCAAACTTTCTTTTACAGGTAAAAGTGACCCATTTTGTGTAGTTGAATTGAACAATGACAGACTGCTGACACATACCGTCTACAAGAACCTCAATCCAGAATGGAACAAAATCTTCACATTGTAGGTGTTTGGATTTTGTGAGTGTTTTGTGGGGGGATGGGGTGTTTTCAGTTGAATATATGTTTGAGTCAAAAACAACTACTGCTGATTCTAAAGAAATAAAGCAGTGACATACTGGTATTTCCAAACTAGCCAGCTGAATAATTTTTTTGAGGATTAAGAACATGAACAAAAATAAAGGAGAGCTACCATTTTAAAGGTAAAAAAGCAAGGTCTGTTTCTTGGAAACCAGGTGTGAGTAATGCTGAGCACTCCAGATTCCTGTCAGGTTTGGTGAAGTTTTCAAGGCCAAATACATCACACTGGATTTGGCCCTGAAGTTTTGAGTGGGAAAAAAGATACTGTGATTATGACCTTCATTAAAATGTGGTGTTAACTTTAACAAACATTAGGTAACTTCGTAAAGGAATATTTATAAATATGTTCATACTTTCCTGAATTATGATACTTCCCTTTTTTTTTTTTTTTTTTTTTTTCATTTACCAACTGCGCTTCTCACCATACCATCTAGCATCAAAACAGCACAATGCAGCTATTGGATAAAATGCAGTGTTACTGGGAAGTGATATGGTTGTTGGGGGGTTTCTTGGGTTTTTTTGTTTTTGGTTGGTTGGTTTGTTGGGTTGGGGTTTTTTTTTAATCCTGTTATTTTGAAGCAAAAGGCTCTGGCAAAATAGAAAAAAGTCTTCCACAAACAAAATGTTCCTGGTATCTGTCTTGCTGAGTTGCCTTTTTTCCCTGCCTCCTTTTCTCTCTCTGGCTGCAATGTGACACCAGTGAGTAGAAAACTGATCAGTTGTAGGTTTCTCTGTTACTGAAATCAGTTCAGAATCCACTGCAAAGTGTGTATAAGCTTTGTGAAGTTACTTCATTTTATCATAAATGAAAAGGCTGTATTTTGCCCATGATCTGAAAACCTGTTCTGATTTTAATTTTCTCTCTCTCTTTTCTTTGTTTTAATTTTACTGTATTTATCATTCTTATATTTCACATCTGTAGCTATTTTTGTCCTGCAGTGAGTTCTCAGTAATGAACTGGGAACAAAAGAAAATCTCACAACAGTTGTACTTTTCATTAGCTTATTAACATCGTCCTCACTTATGTATCCACAAAGCCACATTAAACTCTTCATTAATTTATTTTTAATTACCTGCTAATAGAGCAAATGACTAATCAACCTCTTCTGCATGGCCAGTGTTCTCTGCATAAGAAATTGCCTGGGTTTGTAGAGGACAAGACACTAATCAAGTAGGAAAACTCAAAAGGCCTGCAAGGAGAGTTTTTAGCTCTCTTCTGTGTATATTTGCATTGATCATTTTATTTATCCTCAGATTTGCTAATTAATTTTGGACTAGCAATCCAGTTTCATCTGGAGGTGTAGATCTTACTGAAGTTAAACTGCTTTGCTTGAATTTGTAATTTGTGGATCAGCCATTTGATCAAAGAAGAGTTCTTTCACACAATTCTGTGTTGTTTTTTTTTCTCTGAATAATGAACGTGAATTTTTCACTTGAGAGTTTACAATGTACAATGACAATTTTTGTGCGTGGTGTTGGAGTGTTTAATAGCTTGCAGGCAAAACAAAACGCAGTAGTAGCTGAAAAACGCATTTCATATTGCTTGGTCCCAATTTGTTGTAATGACTGTTGTATGTCTACAATTAAGCAAGGATTTCAGAATTAAAGAGCTTGTTGTCAGGGCTAAGGTATGCTCGTGTGGCTCACGGTTACTTCTGTTGACATACCATGGATTTCACAGTATTTACAGTAAGAACTGCTGCAAGGATAGCAGTGTTTAAGGTTTTTAAAGGCTCTTGCTGCTGCTGCTCACTGCTGTAAATCCCCACTGCTGCGCTACACTGAGCTGGCTCTCCTTGCAGCTCACACAGCAAAAACGCCAGGTAGGGGATTTAAAGCAACATCCTTCAAAAAACTTCAGCCCAGAAAGCCTCACAGAGAGCAAGCCCTCAGAAAGCATTTTGATTATATGGAGGGATGCTCCATGTGCTTAAGTTCTGTTCTCTGCCACGGCTTGGAAAAATAGATGGTATGTGTTTTTTGCTAACCTTTCACGCTTTTGTCCTTGGTACTCACTGGTGTGGATTACTTCTCTCTTCTGTGTGTGCTTCTCCCTTTGTAGCAATATTAAAGACATCCACTCCGTGCTTGAAGTGACAGTTTATGATGAAGACCGTGATCGCAGTGCTGACTTTCTAGGCAAAGTTGCTATACCATTGCTGTCTGTAAGTTCCATTCACCTGACATACCACTCTGAATTTTTCTTCCTGAAGTGAAGGGGGGGGGGGGGGGTTGGTGGTTTAGGAAAAAAAATAAAATAAAAAAAATTGCAGCTTCGTGTCTGTCATTTCTCAACCAAGGTCTGTAATAAGAACACTAAAATTTTAACATACTCAATTCACGGCCATGTTGAATCCCATGATAGTTAATTTTTCCTGACAGACTCTGTGCTGGTAATGAACAGGTACTTGTCAGACTTGCCACAGTTGTTTTGGGTTCTCTGTCAGATTCAGCAGCTGAGGGTCAGGGGTCGCCGGGGGGGTGTATTCAGCAGAGACCGTGAGACAGACGGCTGTCATGTCCTTTTCCTGCAGATTCAAAATGGTGAACAGAAAGCCTACGTCTTGAAAAACAAGCAGCTGACAGGGCCAACAAAGGGGGTCATCTATCTTGAAATAGATGTGATTTTTAATGCTGTAAGTCTTAACTTTGGCTTTTTTGTACTGCTAAAGAGTTCAGTTTCATGAAAGCTTTTGTTCCTGATTTGTAGAGAATTTCTGTCATTCCTCATTTTCTCTAAACCTTGATGTATACTACAGAATACTCTTCTGCCACTGCCTGGCACACCCACTCTTTTTGTTGCTGCTGCCACTGCTGTTGCTGTGAGCGTATGGAGCAGCAACCCATGCCTGTGTGCACTTACGTGTCGCTTACAGGCTTGGCAGCCACGACTTTGAAACTTGGTGGGTTTTGCAAATTGAAGCATGTGTTACTAGTGAGGAGCGGGTGAGCTTGAAATACTGACACACATTTTAATGTGTAGGTGAAAGCCAGCATACGAACCTTAATGCCCAAAGAAGTGAAGTACATTGAAGAGGAAAACAGACTGTCTAAACAGGTAAAGAGTAAGGAAACACTAATCCTTTCTGAAAGCCTTAATATCAAGTGTGCACATCCACATATCTGGTATCATACTGCTGAGGGTAAAGAATAACATTTTCATTACCTGTTTACAAAAGAATATGATAGGCTGGAAAAGGCAGAAACAAAATACATGGTTTATTGTGTCTCCTCTATAAATTGCAGCTTAATTTCCATGAAATACCTGAATAAGAACACAGTTGAAACCATCAGGTTCCACACATATCAGATTATAGCACAGGTGCATGTAAACTAAGTCTTGCATAAATTTTTGCTGTTAACATTGACCTGAAAGATCTTCATTTGTTGCAGGGTAAAGAGCCTTTCAGCATTCTTTTAGACAAATTTTAAATAAGTTAGTTGAGTAAGGTTTGAATCGGTGGTGAAAGCAGACTAAAAGTCTTTATTACTTTGAAGAGTCCTGTGGGTAGGTAATCACAGAATGGGGAGAAATCACATCTGCACTTGGGGGGGCCCCCCCATGTATTTTTGCTACACACAGTTCTAATGTTTTAGTAACATATATTTAGCACATCTTTTTCTCTACTTGAACTACTTTTGATTAAAGTATATGTGTTCCACAAATGATGCATTTTATATAGAGAACTGAGCTTTTCATTGGGCTTTGGGAGTGAGATTTTTGTTGTTTGCACTGAAAAAGGCAAAGGTCTCAGAACTGGTTTTTATTTTGCTGAAAGCTAGTAGACTTGAGCGTAATTTAAATTATCTGCTGGATTAATTTTATGTCATTTATGTATTTTATTTATATTTACTATGCATTTCATTAAAAAAAGATTTCAAGAGGCAAAATATTTCTTTAGTGTTGAGAGTAATGCAGTTACTAAAGCTGCATTTTGTAGTGTTGTTCCAGCAAAGAAGCAGCAAGGCATTTTATTCAAGATTCATTCTTCTCCCCATTTTCGTAACAGAAAATGGCATTGTGATCCTTGCAGATGGCAGGAAGAATAAGCTTTAAATACCTACTTCCAGTTGATTGGGATTTTTTTATTAACTTGAAGGGGATACCCCACTACGATATCATTTTGGGTGAGGGTTAAAAAAAAAGAAAGGACACTTTATGTGTAACTGATGTGGTTGTATTTTAAAGTACCCATGTTTTCCAGGGGTGAGCCTGTCACTAGCATTTTCTGTGATATCCACTACACAAATTATTCCCTGGTTTGTTCACTTTTCTTTTTGCTGCAATTTTAGAGGATTTAAGGGTATCTTCCTGATTTAAAACCTGCCACTGTTATGTCTCATCTGTATAGATTGAATGTATGTGAGTAAAGTTATTTTGATGGATACTTACAACCATGTGGCCAAAATTTTCATCACAGCAGACAAATTTGATAAAAATGAAGGAAAAATGAATGTAAAAGGTGCATGTGATCTTAATTAGATTAGAGCAGTGATTATATTTGGTTTCAAGTTACTGTTCTGCAGCATCTTTTTATTCTAAAAAGCTAACATTTGCTAGAGTACCAGAGAATGGGAAAGCCTTGCCTGCACAGTAAAATCTTAATAACAAAATAATTCATGAAGTTTTTTATGTGGCTTTTTAAAACTAAACAGCAACTTGTCAGAATTTAATTCAACAAATATCAGTTGACACAACTAACAAATTCTCTCTCTTACAAGACTCAGATTCTAAACTGTCCTTCTCAGTTTGTGAGCTAGAGAGTTTAAAGTGTTTTTTCTCATTCTTCACCCAAACTAAGAATGACAATATTATAAGTGTCAGCCTCTTTTGAAGCTTTTGGGTTTTGAAACATTTTTGTTCCTTCATCTTTTCAATAGCTCCTGTTAAGAAACTTTATCCGCATGAAGCGTTGCGTCATCGTGCTCATAAATGCCGCATACTACATTAGCAGTTGCTTTGACTGGGATTCTCCCTCAAGAAGTCTCGCTGCTTTTTTGGTATGATCTTCTTTACATTATTGTTAATGACCCTGGTGCATTTGTGTTCTAGACTGAGAAATAATACAGTGTTGACATGATGGGGTGTTATTTATTTATTTGTTTTCAACTTTGCATTATGAAGATACCTCATCATGTTTATTCACTTTTTTTTTTAATTCTTAAGTTTAAAATGTCACACAAACAAGATAGAGAGTTGTTGTTTTTTTCAAGATTTATAATTGTTCTAATAACAGAGCGATAGAATACAGTCCATGAGCTATGTATGACATTCTTGAGCTTCTCACACATTACTTCCATTAAATTTTGTGTGTCCCCATTGTATGTCACATATTTACTCTTAAGATTTGTTTTGTATATTTCATGGATTCTTTTACATATCAGGAATGTAAACTTAGTGTTATTTTACCCTCGACATATCAATATATGTTATGCGTGTAACTTTTTTAGAAGTACAAAACTCTGGACAAAAGAAGTACAAAACAGTCACTTCCTGTCTAAGATTTAGTATTTTTGGTTAAAAAATAACAGCAAACAAAAACCAAACAACAAAACAAAACAAAAATGCCACCCCCAAAAAACCAAAACCAACTTTAAAATCGGTAATACAAACAAATAAGTATCTTGTAGTCATCAAGCTCTGATCATAGTTGTTTTCAGTGAATTCATTTTTAGTGATTTAAGTGAAACTATTTCTCTATAACCATTAGCTTCACTAATATTAACCTTTGTTTTCCTGTTAAATTTAGAAAATTCCAAGCATCATTGTAGGTTAAAGTCTATTTCCCAAATGAATATATTTTAACTTTCAAAATTGTATGAGCTACGAACAAGACTGAAGTCTCTCTTTTTTTGTTTGGTTTTGTGGTTTTTTGTTTGTTTGTTTGTTTTTCTTTTGGTTTTGCCAACAGTAAACGTGTATGCATGGGCACAGTTTCTGGAATATCTAAATTTATTAAGTTGGCTTAATGCTGACATTGTGAGCCTCTTCACCATGAATATGAGCATAGGTTTGGTGTTGCTTTGAATAATATAAAGGGAATCTGGTGACAGTGCTCCTAAGTTGGGTGCCTGAAGCTCAGATACCTCAATTCTGGAGAAAGCAAACCAGGTTGTTGAACTGGCTGTGCTGGAGCAGTAAAATGGCGTACTTTGGCGTGTCACTAAATTTAGCTGGTTTGCAGGAAGTTTCTTTTAGCAGGACTCCATTTGTACTGCAGGACCTGTTAAACTCTGCTGTAGCCTGTCATCATCACCACAGAATGGTTTGGGCTGGAAGGACCTGTAAAGATCTTCTAGTTCCAACCCCCTGCCATGGGCAAGGACACCTTCCACCAGACCAGATTGCTCAAAGCACCATCCAGCCTCTTAAAGGATGGCAGCACACTGCCAGTCCTTGTTTGCAGTGTTCACCAGGAGTAGAGGAGATATGTCTGCTGTTGAAGTACTCAGGGATTTTATACTTTTACTGTTGTCTGTAGTAACTATAATATGTGCAAAATCTAAACAACTTGCTACTGTTTACTTTAGAAAAATTATAATTTCAGTTTAAAGTGATCAAAATTTCATAGGAAAATGCAGGTCTCTACTTAAAATTTAAATGTTGATGTTGCTATTGCTACTCCCGTTAGTGAGTATGAATCTGGCTAAGTCTTATTTTAATATGGAAATGGAAAACCCACTTCTTCCTTTTAAAAGAAACAGAAAAAGTTGTGTTGCTGTCAAGTTGTAATTGTTGCCAATCATAACACAAATTCAGTGTCCTAATAAGTAGTTGGAAATATGTAGAACACAGAATTTGAGCAGGGAGAGCTGTAGTTAGCGTATTGCGGTAGAAACTAGTTCCTGGTTTTATTTTTATATATATATTTACAATTTAGAAATAAACATATCTATTTTATATATATATATTAAAAGCCTTCTCTTCTTAGTTTCCTTTTAGGTAGGATTTGTTTTGCTATGTGGTGGTTGTGGTAGTTACAGATATATTACATCTACATCAGTGCTGGGGCTTGACATATGTGTTCCTGCTCTGCATCCAAAGTACATCCTGTGCTTTTCAACCTTGTGTTATTCTCCCCAGAGATCAAAACATCCCTCTCCGGGGCAAAAATTAGATAGGATATTGCTAGGCAAGTCAAATCTGTGTGAACTTCATCGTGATCATAAGCTTTGGAATTTAGATGGTTTCTGAAGTTTCAAAGCTACCATAGGCCCTTAAAAAATGCAAGAGTGGTCCACTTGCATTTGTGATGATGAATTATGCTTGCATTAAGGTTACACTTCAATTTAATAGAGTCTGTTAAAAAAACTCTACCTATATGTATCATTTTCATCTCTTCACTACTATACAAATTGTATCTCCTCTTGAAGTCATTTCCCAGAGGTTAGAGAGTATCACAGTGAAATAGCAGTGCCAGAAAGCAGACGAGAAATAGGCTGGTTTGGAGTATTCCAACTCTGTATTCAGACAAATAAATAACGTACAAGAAGTAAACTTTTAAACTAACCATTTTTTCTTTCCTGTTGGATTTGAAGACATACCTTGATGGATAACATTCCGATACAGATTTACAGCCATTTCACAGAAGTTACATGTGTGAGGGTTGATTTTTCAGGTCTCCCATTGTCACAAGTTCCTGTCATTACGATTACAGGTACCTTGTCTCATATCTCTCTCCAAGTCTTTACTTTCTGATGGGGCTACTGATACAGTAGGCCACAGGGGTGGAAATTCTGTCAGACTAGAAATATAGTTGTGAGTAATAAGAGAGATCTGGAAAGGCGGACTTGTCTTTGAAACCCACATAAAGCCTCCATTAATATGGTTACTCTGTAACATGCTGCAGTTATCTGCTTTATGCTGTTTGCACACTGAGGTGTTCACTGCAGCTCTTTTCAATGTCATTCTTCTTGAAGAGTCACAGTGTTGGTCATCAAGACTATATGTGTTCATTGAAGGGGCTTGCTGATTGTTTATAATCCAGAGCTCAGCTGTCTCAACCCATTATGTTATTTGGGACACTGGTTCTTTCTCAAATCTCTTCAAATGCACTGGCTCAATGACTAGTTTTGCACATGATATACCTAGAAGTACAGAAACCTAGAAGTTACATTTTTAGTGTTCCAGATGATAACACTTCCTCAACTAAACAATGTTTTAACCTGTTTCTATTGAACTCCACTGGACATTTTGTCTGAATGACTTAAGGTTTTGACTCCACTTTTTTTTTTTTTTTTGTGCCTCAGTAATTCAGAGCAAAACAATAACTCCTACCCAGCAATATTTCTTGTATTCTTATGCCAATCTAACTGTGACATATTATTTGTTATTTTTCTGATATTCAAATGTATTTGTAAATAGCTCATGAAACATGGATTGCTGTGGCTAGAATATGTCTTTGGGTTTGAATCATCAGAAGGTTTTATGTTCTTCACAGTTTATTCGTATTTGTTTCCTGTTAAATACGTCTATAGCAACGATATTAAAATAGTGTTTGAGTTCCAGAACAGCTTTATTATATTACATATAGCCCTGTTATGTCTAGTGGCTGATGAGAATATTTTATGTGCCTGTGTTAATGCTTCTTAAGAAACTAAATGCAATGGAAAATAATGGTATGAGAGAGCCTTCACTGTAAATTTGTATGATTGATTTTCTGTATTTAAACAGACCTTTGGATAATTTAGCAGTTAATTTTTATATATTTTTAATTCAGTAATTAATATGGTATCTGTCAGGCTGAAGAACTTTATTACAGTATGGAAAAGGGGATGTTTTTTCTTTAGATTAATCTACTGTGGGCTCTCAAATGTCTGCTAAATTGGGCCTAATTTCCATCAACTTCTCGACCAGACATTTGTGTTCTTGCAGATGTCAGTGGGTGCAATGTAGGGGGAAAAAAGTGTGCACACTTTTTTTTCCAATACTGTCATTTCTCACTGCAATGAGAGCAAAAATAATTGGACAACTGAGCTATCAGTAAAAGGACACACTTCAACTTGAGTCAATGAATTATTTTACGGGACAAACTTTAATCTTTAAATGTGATTGTAGATAATTTGTGCTACCATCTGTCCATTTGGAATTCTTTTAGCCTTTTCAGTCGTTATACAGTAAGTGCAGCTGTGTTTAACATTAACATTTGATATTTTACACATTTAATTTCTGTACTGCTGCATAGTCCTTGGGGAGCTTTGCTGTAGTGCTACATGAGAGAGAAAAAGTATTGATCAGTTAACATTTCAGCTACATTTATGTATGTCGCAAAATTAATGAAAATGCCAGACAAAAATGTCAGAGTGCACAAAAAGGTAGAATTTAAATTTGGTAGTTTAATGAAAAGTTTAATATGTGCATTATCAAAAATGTCCCGTTACCTTTAAAGTACAATTCATAACTGATTAACTAAAGGGAACCACATATTTTACTTAGAGGAACATTGAACATGAAATATGAGAGAATATATAATCTTCAAAGTATTTGGTATCCCAAAATGGTCTTGCTAAAGCACTTTAATTACCCGCTTGAACATTTTACTGTTACTTATAAAATAAACTTGTTTCCTTTCTCATTTGGAAGCAGAGTACCCTGACCTGATCGCATGCATGCTTTTCCACACATCCTCAAATTAGATCTTCCTATGAACATATTCTCCTGTTCCTCTTCATATTCCTCAGAATTTTTTTTATATGTGTGTATGCACACAGAAAATACTCTCCTTTCTCAGACTGAAATATTGATAAAATTACTTGCCCTGCATCCAGGTGATTTGTCAGGTCTAACTTACCTTCGCTTTGTCTAATTTTGGGAGAATCATGTGTGAAAATGACATAATAGCGTACCTAGCAAGAGTTAGTTCTCTTGCACATATGCCATTTAGTTGTGATGGTGTCGTGCTAATTAATTGAAACTAAAAAGGAAACAGGAGAAAAAAAGGGCTGGCCCCTGGCAGGAAACAAGACAGTAATTTGGTCAACTTACTTAGCTTTTCCCTAGT